TCTTCCGCTTAAAACAACAAAAGAAAATAAGAATAAGAACTAGAAAGTGAACAGCAATACATATATGGCCAATGTATTTGTACATGTTTGTGTGTATATGCGCATATAAATTTTACAATCGTTTGGTGCGTGTACTTTTTTGAATAAAAAAAAAAAACTAAAAACGCAGTTATAATTTTTTTAATGTTTCTCATCGTGTACGGGCATGTAAATTAAAAAAAAAAAAAAACCCAAAATAGAATACCCCTATCGCACATCTTCTCACCCCCATATTTCCAATAAAGCGCGCTCGCCTGCATGGTTCCACTTGCTGGCACTTTTTCTGTGTACTAAAAATATAGTAAATAAATACATCACCAATTTAATTCAACAATCTATAACAGTAACTTACATTTTGCATCCATTTTGTAGCGAAGAAAAACAAAAATAACACAACAGAGAACTGTCAAATCGAATTAAGAATGCGCCGCGGGAATGGGATGTCGTGGGAAAATGGTATTACATTAGCACGTTCTTTAACCAGAAATGATGGTTTATCGTCAAGTAATTCCTTGAACTCAGATAAAAGAAACGAAAATTTGTTAGTCGCATCGATTGTAGTTACCTGAGGTGAAATCGATGTAACTACTTCACCTTTAGATGACGCCCGAGTCATAGGATCGATTACCCGTATCCGTTTGATGTCAACAAGCAAACCATATTCGTTTAAAAAGTCTGCGCCTACTATTGATGTTGTTGCATACGCACAATAAACGTTTACCATGTTTGTATTGGCGATCCATTTGTGGCGTAGTATTTTGCATACTCTTCTGTCTGGCTATTGTTGTAGTTGCTGCGTATTAGTTCCTTCATACGTACGGTGACCACAAATATGGATTCAAAATTAAGGACTTTTTTTCAAAAATATGCCTACATATATTTACGTAGTATAAAAATATCGAAAGAGTATTTATGATTCTAAATTCTTAATACATTTTAAACTTTGAAAAGGAATCACGTTTTCTTCATCGATAGTAATCTTTTTTACATGAATATTTATAAAAGTATAGTAAAACATATTATAATTACAATAGCTTACACGAAAGTGAAAATCTTTAAAAGATTATTTTATATGCAAATTTTGAGGCGTTCAAAACGAAAACAATACCCTTTTTTGTTTTTTGTACTTTTCGCAGTTATTTGTCAAAAATCGACGTCATGGATCGACGTAAACGACGAGTTACAAAGGTATTTATGTGCCCTTTACAAAAATATATAATTTGTGCAGATTGTGCTTCATAGCATTTCTAATTCGATTTTGATTATCGTTGGCTCAAATTTACTGTAATGATATATCTTCTTTATCGAATTTTTAAACTAATGAAAAAAATAATCAATTAAAACTGCGTATTTGATTGAAAATCTCACTTTTTTCGACTGTGACGACAAAATGCAAATGGTCGCCTAAAGCACTAATAATTTTCATTGAAGTCGCCACAAGTTATATATTTTGGTAAGAGGCACATCAATACCCTTCGAGATGTAAGTCGCTTACGTTGATTGGGAGATTTTTTCATGAGATATTGAACAAAAGCTACGAAAAGTACCAAGAAATACTTTTTTGAAAAAATCCATCCATTGTCCGATAATTTTAAAATAACGAATAAAATGCGGGACAAATGCAGGACACTTGGAAAAAAGAAGTACATTTTCAGGTTTTTCAGGTTTGAAAAACTACGCAGGACCGACCTTTGAAAAACAGTACGGTCCTGCAAAAAACAGAACGGATGGTCACCGTATTCATACAGGGAGTTGGTTTTAGCATTGAGTGATCAGCCACTGAGTCGATTAAAAAATCGTGCTCAGTTAGTCTGTCGTGTATGAACAGGCGCTTTGAAGCTGTGCATAGTGTCGGCGCCTGAGTTGACACCGCACACATTAGTTTTTTTGCTTTAAGTTGAATGAGCACGGTGAACGACATTTTTTTGCACGCTCTCCCAATTTCTGGAGATACCAACATCAGTCATTATCAGCGTTCCTTTCTTTTTCGTATCGCTTGGCACTGGATGAGCGGCCACGCTTTCGATGCGGTGTTGTTTCTCGTCGTGTCGGCCTGTTCTGCGTTTCGATCGCATTCAGTCGTACGGATAATTTGTCTAACTTTTGCTGTATTACTTCCAGTGTCTTTTCCAACGGAGGAGTTTGTTCCACACTGGAGATACACACTTTATCAGAAACTTCCCACATTCGGTCGGCGATTTGGGCTAAATCATCTAGTCTGTCTTTTGATGCGGCCAGGACTGTTCTCGTTGTTTGCGGCAATTTTTTCATCCATAAGTTTTTAATGAAATCGTCTCCGACGTCTTTCGAAGCAAGTGACTTTATTTTGTGTAGTACTTGAGATGGCTTCATATCACCTACACTGAGGGAAAAAAATTTTAGAATTAAAAAAAAAACGTGCTAAATTTAAAAAAATACACATATGAAAGAGCACCAACACCACTCGTTTTAAATTCAAGTATACACATTACAATATGTCTTTTTATAATGCGTAATATCAATTCAAATATGGACATTGTATAGTTATTATCTAAAACGTAGTTGCTTTAATTGATAACGTTCGTTATAGTAAAATTATT